TATATATATATATATATATATATATATATATATATATATATATATATATATATATATACATATATATATATATATATATATATACATATATATATATATGTATGTATGTATGTATGTATGTGTACGTGTATGTGTGTGTCTATATGTGTGTGTGTGTGTGTGTGTGTGTGTGTGTGTGTGTGTGTGTGTGTGTGTGTGTGTGTGTGTGTGTGTGTGTGTATGTGTGTGTGTGCGCGCGTCTGTATGGTGCATGTGTGTAGTTTAGGAAACAATCAGACAGACAGATATTGAAATTAACAGAGAGAGAAGAGAAAGGCATCAGCAAATAAATTCTTGACGTTCCGACTGTAAAATCGTAGCGTGATTGATCTTGGCTTGTGAAAATTACTCCTGCCATTCATGCCTTCCTCGGCGATTGTTACAAGAGACTTTGCTCCTTTGAGAGATTAGTGGGGGGGGGGGAGTGACGAGAGACGAGCAAAATGGACAGATGTGGAAGTTAACAGGTTGTAAGATTTGCAAAATCATTTATAATAGAAGGTCTTAAGATAATGTATTTCTTCGGAAAAAAAATAAATAATTTCGGGTTGAATCAAAAAGAAAACTCATTCGTACTTTGTCGACACAATACGTCGACTCTTCATTGTACGGGAGTGTCGTTTCTCACGGACTGACATCTTTATTTTCTCTTTCTTTTCAGTCTTTTCATTTGAATTTTCGATAATGTATTTCTTGTTTTCTCTCTCTCTCTCGGTCGTTCTTAAATATATATATATATATATTCCCAAGCCATTTATCCATTGATTCCCATAAATCAAACGCAAAAAGTATAAACAATCTGAATACTTTATGATCTTAGACCCGATTCTCTTTTGTTTTCGGAGTTTTGTTTTTCGCTTCGTCTATACATTTCTGGAGTTTATAGTGTTGTTGACAAATGTCAGATGTTTCCGATGATCGTCGGGCTGATTTAGGTTCGTAAAGCCTTAATTTAGGTCTAATATCTCGTAGTCAGCCGTGTAAAAGGTGCTACGGTTGGTTGGCATTATTAAAAGGGATTTATTTAGCCTGGGAGAAGGTCGTGAGGGCGAAATAAGAGAGGGTTTGAAGGTTGATGTCAAGTGGATCCGAGGTGGATTTGTTGTGATTCGGGGAACGAGAGAATTTGGCGATTTGATTGATTTCTGGTTGATTCTGAGAGCCGAGTTGGTGATTTTAAAGCTTATTTATGATAGATTTAGACGTAGATGTTGCCAAGAGTGTCAGTCAATCCGATATTTATAAAAATTTCGAGAGCTCGTTTCGCGGAGTACTTTTCTACCTGTCGCCTTCTCTTCGTCTTTTCTTTATTTTGATTTATTTTGATTTTATCTCGATTGATAGAGTGGATTTGGCGATTAATCTAATTAGAGTAATTATTATGCTGGGATAATACAGGAAATCATTGATTATCTTTGAAAGGAAATGACAACTTTAGTGTTTCCTTGTCACTCAGCTTCCTTGTTTAGAAATCTGAGATCTTATCAGTTATTTTTATATTTTATTGTTTGTAAAGGATTTGTTTTGTTTTAAAAAAGAATTATGTGAGAAATATGCAATATATTGTGTTATTGCTTGATGTTGCTCATAATGTTGTATAATAATCTGTTTTCAGATAAGTTTCATATAATAGAAGATCTACAGAAGTCAGGTTTTTCATTACTGAAATACATTTAGATTGTACATAGATATGCACTTCATCTGTATTTAATCAGGATTGTAATGTTGAAAGAGATATTTTATATCAGTTTTAGTTAAGCTATATATAAATCTTAAGAAATAGATAGGATTAGCATATCATACTGTATTGTTATTGGCATTAGTATGCATGAGGGATTTTACTGTAGCTAGTTGGATTTTTTTTCTTATATTATACATTTTGTTTCAGTCTACATACTACTTAAGTAATATTTTCTGTTACAATTTCTACACCAATAGTATATATTTTGTTGCAATCTATGTACTACACAAGTTATAGTTTCTGTTCCAATATCTACGTTAATAGTATATATTATATATAAAGAAAGGACTTTTTTTTTACAAGATATGAAACCTGATGGACTGATTATTGATTGATCTGTTTCTGCAATGAAGTTTTTATGGTTTGAAGTTTATTATCCATTTGAGAAGGTAAGATAAATACTTCATATTAGGGAAATTCTGTAGCTGTTAATCTAACACCTAATATGATTTTAACATATTAAGTAACTGTTTTTCTAAAGAACGGGTAAGAGATAAATTTTTGGTGTAAAATCAATATAAGTTCCAGCTGCATAATGTACAAAGGATTTACAGATACTCGTATCATACACGCTGCAGGTTCTAGTAAAGTGTATGAATTGTGTAATTAAGAAAGTGGTTGGGACTGTATACCTAAAACATAGATATAGTGATAATTTGAAAGTGAAGAATGGTAGTTTTGATAATTAGCCTAACTTACTGATTTTTGAAATTAGATGTT